ATATATAGTGGCAGGAGTCAGGTGAAGTGTCGTGTGGGTAGAGGTGGTAGTAGTAGTAGTAGTAATGGAACTAATGAGGTGAGACGGATGGCTACAGAGGGACCTGTTGACATCAAGTAACAGCAGTTTCCAGAATGGGTAATATCCTGTTGATTAGCAATTTTGAGATACTGTAACTACCGGACTTTTGCTTTATAGTGTTACTGACAGCAATTAGGGCAGCTTCTATGCATTTTCTCCGTCTAAAGTCGTCTTCTTTAAACTAGAGTAATGACAACAAGGATGTGGTCGGAACCAACGTTGTCACCAGGAGAGACCCTGCAATTGTAGAGGTCACAATCTCTGCTGGTTAAGACCATATCAGGGGTCCCCGGACGACGGCCGACAAAGGACTGAAAAAAAGGGCCCTGAAAAGCGAGGTGTCATTATGTTAAAGTTGTTGACCCTGCAAGTCCTTCATCGGCTGGCCAGCTCTACAGTTGAAGAGGGCAGCGTGATGGGCGTTAAAATCACCTACAAGGAGTGTGGGAACATTCCTACTCAGTATCCCATGGAGGAGAATGGACTCTATATACTTATGTCTACAAGGAAAGTAGACAGTACTAATAATTAAGGGACAATATGAGGGCGACAGTTCTACTGCTGGAAAGGCATCTTCGTCAATGTGTATGGTCCATAAGGCATACCGCAGTTTAACTAGGATGGCTACTCCACTCTGGAGCCCTCTCGACCTCTCAACCGTACAGTATACTACCACAATATAATAACTGACTTAAGAAATCGTAATGACACGATTGCAAACAAACCATACCCCCGGCCGGGATTGAACCCGCGGTCATAGAGTCTCAAAACTCCAGCCCGTCGCAGGTTCAATCCCGGCCGGGGGTATGGTTTGTTTGCAATCGTGTCATTACGATTTCTTGAGTCATGTTGACGGCAGTGAAGGGACTTGAGCTAGAGTTCGTCACGGCCACGCTAGCTGGAGATTCGTCTGTAAAAACTTGCATTTGTGGTCACAGTGGTGCCTGTGCTAACCTTCCTATGGTGTAGAAATATACCTAGTTGGATGAATCTTATTGTGGCTAGCTGGTCTAGTGGCTAACGCGACGGGCCGGAGTTTTGAGACTCTATGACCGCGGGTTCAATCCCGGCCGGGGGTATGGTTTCTACTGGTCCATGATAGGTGCAAATAACACCTACTCATGTACCCACCCATTACAAAAATAATCCGCACAAAAGAGAACGAAACTTATGACGATGCTTTGGCCTAACGTGAACCATTAACGACACAGAAGTTCAAAGTGAAGGAAGACATTTAACATACGAATGGAAGGGGTCATGAGCAGTAGAACGAGAGGAGGAAGTAGTATAATGAGTTTATCATGTGATATGTAGAACAAAATTATTCGGTTTTCTTATGAAAGACATCTGTTTTTGCACTTGCTCTTGGTATTTGTCATTTATGTCTCCATATGATTCCAGATATAAGGTTACTGAGACACAAACTAACACAGAAATTGAAAACAATATATCCTTTCTTTTCAGTAATAAATTATTTGTTTGCCCAGATTCAGACGAATAAATGTTTGAATAACATACTCTGATTTTTGCACTTACGTGTATATACAGATGTTTCTAGCTGGGATATATGTGATGGTGGTGACCCTGGCGGCGGTAGTCACGGGGGACTTAGACCCTCCTGAGAAACACTACAAGATACTGGTGCTTCTCCCAGTCTCCTCCCACAGCCATAAAAACGTCTTCATCCCACTTGCTGAGGCTTTGGCCGACCGAGGTCACCAGGTATAACATTGCTCTGATTTTTTGTGATGATGAAATATATAATGCAGTCAGTGTTTCTCCAAGAAAAATTACATTTTGCAACAGGTGATTTTGAGACAGTCAACAGCTAAAAATGGATCCCATTTGGAGAATTTGTAAAAACAGAACCCTTCGACGTGGTGGAAATTGAGTTAGCTTTAAATAATTCAAGTAATTATCAACGGAGGTTTGATCATGGTCATTCAAGTTTACCAGAATCCTGAATCCATGTCATTTTTCTAGGTAACAATGTTGTCTAACAGCCCAAAATCGACCAATCATCCCAACATCACTGATATTAGCCATGGTCTTCAACATTTCCAAAATATAAATATGTTTGAGTATAAAGACGACTGGACTGGAGGATATGCGGTGTTTGAGAAAGTTCTTCCCTTAATTGTCAGAGACTTTTACAAAGTTCCTCTGGTGAAGGAACTTTACGAGAGAAGGAAAGAGTTTGATCTCTTTATAGTAGACCATGCATATAATGAGGTAAGAATGGTTCAATAATTATTAGTTTTACATTTAACAAAGTTAATCATGTTCATTCAAAAGTTCTTCTAAAATATATTTAAAAAGATTTTAATTTATGTTTCGCATGAAATACATACATCATGTTGTAATAGTGATCACACTCCATCTCGTGTTGTATATTTTAATTAATGATTCTACTTTGCATGATTTACATCAGTGTTAGTTAATATCTTTATTATGTACCCCATACCCATCCTGTGGGCGGTAGTCACCTGTACCCATCCTGTGGGCGTAAGTCACTCCATACCCATCCTGAGGGGGGTAGTCACCCATACCCATACTGTGGGCTGTAGTCACCCATACCCATCCTGTGGGCAGTAGTCACCCATACCCATCCTGTGGGCAGTAGTCACCCCATACCCATCCCGTGGGCGGTAGTCAAAAGAATACAGAGGTACATAATGGGTCCAGGAACTAGTCCCCAAAGTTATGATAGCTGAAGTAGTTACAAAGGTAATGATCTCCATATAGATCTGGTCACAGTCATGGTAAGTTACAAAGGTAATGAATCGTCTACACTCCTGTACATGGTTACAATCATGGTAAGTTACAAAGGTAATGAACAGTCTACACTCCTATACATGGTCACAATCATGAACAAATTACAAAGTAATGAGCCACTAACACTTCCACACCTGGTCACAATTGTAATGAGTTATAAGTACAAATATTAAGTGGGTCAAAAACCCACACGAGCGCGCATATCATTGATGGAAATTCTAATGCAAGTAACCACTGTTGTCAAACTTTTTCAAACTGTGAAAGAAAATTTCCGCTAACTTTATCGTAGGAATTTCAGTCGCTTCTGAGCTGCTCCGAAAATATCAGATTTTTGGAAGGCTGAGAGTGACTGCAAAAAAAAATGGCGGTTTTCAGGTTAAGTTATTTTAGCACAATCAACTTTGTTCACCGTCGTTTTGATTATTAATTCAGGATTAAGCTCCACATCTACAGTAATTCAAGAAATATTTTATATGAAGCTAATTCGTGTTGTCAGGTCCCTGTCAGTTCTTATACTTTAATTCAGTAGCTGTCAGCCATATCTACTTTTTTTTATTTCATCCATTAGTTTTTCTCACAGGAACCACTGCTACATTCAGTTGTTTTTATTTTCGGAACAACTTTAACTTGCTTCATGTGTTTTTGTCACAGGACAAAGGAAGATGTAATATGCTACTCTTATAAACTTAAAAGTCCTCTTATCCTTAAACCAGCAGAATTATCCTATACTTCTGTCTTCCGTGGATTGTATATACAAGAATTTTGTATATTTTGTATGATTTAGATCTATGAACTATTGTTCCAAATCAAAGGTTTACAACGTCATTTATTCAATTTCTCAGCAGTGAATTATTTCTATCCAAAGTCTAATATATCAGGTCAGACCCACTGATGGTAGTGTATAATGAAGACAACTGTAGACTACTTGCCTGCACACCTGGCTGTATAATAATAATAATAATAATAATAATAATAATAATATCTTTATTTCTATGAGTACATGTACATGGTATACAGACCATAGCTGACATCGATGACATACTACTATATAGTAAGCTGCTTGTTATGCTGAGCATTTCATGCAAATTAAGTCAGTCTTGTCCCAGGATGCGACCCACACCAGTCAACTAACACCCAGGTACCCATTTTACTGGTGGGTGAACATAAACAACCATTGTAAGGAAACACGTCCAATGTTTCTACCCTCGCTGGGAATCGAGTGAGCTAAAAGGCAACAGAGTGAGTAAATAATTCTATTTCCTTCACCAAATAGTCAGGTATTTGCAAAATCTACGGAGACTATATACACTTGCACAGTGTATCCAGCTATATATAATAAGATAAATACAAACAAGAGACTCTGTAAGTAACGACCAGACTTGAAGGTAAGTCCACCAGGGATGATTGACAAGTGTACCACATTGCTTCACAACTTTGGGGACCTACTTTGTAGTTAGTTGGTTGAACCAAGATAGTGACATAATGATGGAGTCCCGTGCTAGTTATACTCTTAACATCGGATCTGAGGGTCAGGAGACATGCCTATATGGGCGTGTGATATAGGCCGAACAAAATGCAACAAATATATAACTGCAACAACAGTTTCAAACTAGAGTGACGCTGAGAATTCCTCTCTCCTTAGATAGTGTACCCGTTCCTGCACCAGGCTCCCTTCATCATGGTTTCCACACCAGGCATTGACTTCCGTCAGAGTGCCGTCCTGGGTAATGTCTTGAATCCTGCCTATGTACCCAGCCAGTCGTTTGATTTCCCACGACCTTACTCCATCTGGCATCGATTTTTGAGCACACTGTTACATATAGCATTTGCAGTTTACTGGAGGAATTGGAACATTGTTCCTCAGCTTCAAAAAGAGGTATTTTTAATACTGAGACAGTTTTCAGTAACAAAATTGTCAATCTTGATGTAATATATTTTTTAACAGTAATACTTATCAGTTATTTCAGTGTGATTATTTAAAATAATTATTGCATCTAATTTCATACCAATAATCTAATGAAGATTTCTCATATACTTTAAACATCACTGTACAGTTTTTCAAATTCTTAGAAATATTAGCTATATCGTTATATTTGGTGTAACAGTTGAAGAGAAATTGTCACAGTCCTGGCATTATTTAACAGATCTCAGCACAGTTCCCGGAGCTGCCACCGTTGTTGGAGTTAGAGAGGAACATGAGTCTAGCACTGATGAACACACACTTTATCATCGGTATACCACTGCCTCTCCTGCCCTCACAGGTGGAGGTGGGCGCCATCCACTGTCGCCCCGGTAACCCTCTGCCTCAGGTGAGTTGTCCTGACTACCTGACTCATGATAGTTGTGTACCCTTCCTACCCCAACACGATAAAGCCTAGCAATTGTAGCTTCTTCATTTCTGTACAGAGAACAGTGAAAGGTGAGGAGTTTGAGGTAATCAGGGAGTGATTGCCTAACCTGATTCTTGCATGTGACCTTGTTCCTGAAGATGACTGTCCTTCCGATTCGCCTGAGAGGAGATAACTTTTTCGGATTCTCTTGCTCAGCGTAGATCCTTCCAGGGTTGACATCTTCCTAAAATACAAAGTGTACTGGAAGCCTATAAACAATGATAAATTTATACACCATTTATCCTATCATTATCTCCTAATTTACGATGGCATCCTCATCTGTTTACATTTCAAGGTCTTTAGATTATGAATGCCACAATTCTGAGAACAGCTTTACTGTATTGAAATTTCCACTTGTGTAACATAGTGTCTTGTAAATGTGAAGTCTATGGTAAATGTCTGCATTTACACCCCTAATGTAACACTATGATCCGACTTGGACCAATTGTAAGTCACACTGATGGTCCAAGTTGGACCGAAATGTCGTCATAAGCTTCACTCTTCTAAGTGCGGGTTATTTGCGTATTGTTCCAGTCACGGTATTGTGCCTTTTTGTTCTCTAATATATTACTGCTTAACAGGAATTGGAGTCTTGGATCACGGGAGCGGGATCTAGTGGTGTTATCTACTTCAACTTGGGTTCTTTTTCTCGTGGTTCTTCCATGTCAGTCCAGTACCGTGACGTCTTCCTCCAGGCCTTCAGGAGGCTGCCTCAGCGAGTCGTCTGGAAATACGAGGGAGAGTTGAAGAACGTCCCTGACAACGTAATGATTACCAACTGGGTTCCTCAGCAAGACATTCTTGGTTCGTTGTTGATATATCGTGTGCAGTACTTGAACTTATATGATAATAGCGTGAGTTTGTCGCTTCTGTTGATTGCGTGTCGCTCTTGTCTATTATGTCAATCCTTCTTCATCAAACTAGCTATCTTCTTCACTATTACTTCTATCCAAAGATATTTTGAAGTCTAACTATAGACAATAATACAATAACAGTTGACAAACCACTCCTCTCTTTTCCTGCATCATGCATGGATATATTAAGGCCTCCCACTCATGTATTGCTAGGCTACAGAACAAGACATTTTTTCGTAAGTTAATTTCGGTGCTGTAACTCGAGAACGCCTTTTCGCATTGAACTCAGGTTTTTAAGAAAATAAGAAAGAAGCAGCACTGCAACAGGCCTACTGGCCCATTCTAGACAGGTTCAGGTCACACCCACTCAAGAAGGAATGAGTAGGAAAAGACACATATGTACAGTTCTGGACATTTATTAAAGGAAACGTCTCGCCACGAGTGACTTCTTCAGTCCTAATACAGAGATAACTAAGAAAACGAGTATATAAAGTGGCAGAAGCCAAGTGTTTTGTCGCATGGGTAGTAGTAGTAGTAGTAGTAGTAGTAGTAGTAGTAATAGTAGTAGTAGTAGTAATAGTAATAGTAGTAGTAGTAGCAGTAGTAGTAGTAGTAGTAGTAGCAGTAGTAGTAGTAGTACTAGTACTAGTAGTAGTAGTAGTACTGAGACGGGTTGAGTTAGAGAAGGACCTCTTAACATCATGTTACAGTAGTCTCCAGAATGGGTAAATCCTATTGATTAGCAGTTTGGAGATAATGTATTTGCCGAACTTTTGATGGATTGTGATACTTAGAGCAATTAGGGCAGCTTCTATGCACTTTGGTCGTCATAAATTGTCTTCCTTAGTCACTAGTCTTGCCTCACTGAAATTCATTAGGTGTCCAGCATCGTCCCCATGTTGAACACAAGCGTTTTTGGTCATCATCTCTGCAAGCGTTTTTTTGTTTCCTGATCCTAACATCCAGAGATCTGGCTGTTTCACCCATATATGCTTTGTCACATGTCCCACATGGTATTGTTTATACTCCTGCATTCATGCCAGAGTCATTCTTGGGATTTTGTGCAAGGTTTGTAATGGTAGCTGAAAAACTGGTGGATGTTTTTGCTAGTTTTCTATCAAAAAATCTTGAAACGTTAGTTGCAACATCGCTGATCGGTAAAACGCTGTAACTTGGAGGCTTTTTTTCAACATGATTGGTGTTGGTCTTGTTGAGGATTCGTGTCGAACGTTTCTTGCAATCATGTATGAAGTTTACGAGTGTGGCATGCAAAGAGTACGTAACCTTTATTCGGCGCATGTACACACCCTCATTTACAGGCTATCTCCCCCAACCAGCGAACCAGGTGAATGAGAGTTGACGATGGGGCCCCGTCGTTCAACCAGTAACCAGGTTCCAGCCAATAAGAAGATGGTTTTGGCAATCGCAGAGGTTATGTTGGTACCACTCTCCTGTCTGCCCTTGTCATTATCATTCTAGAGCTGGTTGAAGCACGGTCTGCTCTCTAGTGGCTTCTATTCTGCCTTACTTACCGTGGAGTGAACTAATACCTATCGCTGTACATAGTGTATATAGTGTACATACTTCTGTTCTAAATTGGTGAAGGATAATACAAGTCAAAAGTTTTCTGCTGTGTTTATTTTGCTCCCTTCACACCCAGGATAACAGGCCATTTGGACTCCTGGGTTGTAATAACGGGGAAATGTAGTGAACTAAAAGAATGTGCAATGAATGTGCATTCTTCCTTGAGGAACTGTGGACTGGAAATTCTGTAGCTCTCAGAAAGAAGCCTATAACTACCCCTCTTTTAGTTCTGGTGTCATGGTGAGAGAAGGAGTGTAGATCGTTCTCGTAGGAATGTTTAAGGCAGACTTTACAAGAAATCCTGTTTTCCCCAGTGAGTAGGAGAACATCGAGAAAAGGTAATCGGTTGTCCTCCTTCAGTGTAAATATGATGGTAGGTTCCAGAGTGTTGATAGTGTTGAGGATGCCACGTACGTCTAGATTTTTGGGTACAATGATCAAAATATCATCAACGTACTGTATCCACGTAACTGCCACTATATATACTCGTTTTCTTAGTTTTCTCTGTATAAGGACTGAGGAAGCCACTCGTGGCGAAACGTTTTCTTTAATAAATGTCCTGAACTGTACTTAAGTATCTTTTCTCCACATCTTGTCGGTATTACCATACCATTTCTCAAGGAAGGAGCACTGCAGCAAGCCTACTGGCTCAAGCTCGTCAGGTCTAACTCACACCTATTCATGTATTTGTTGAACCTATTTTCAAAACTGCACAAAGTTTTAACTTCAATGACGTTACGGAGAAGTTTGTTCCACTCATCCACAACTCCATTACCCTTTCAAAATCTAAATTTTTCTAACTTAAATCCAGTGCAGCGAGTTCTGTGTTGGTTAGACATTTTTAGCACGTTATTTACATCCCCTTTATGTATTCCTTTTTTTCCATTTATACACCTCAATCATATCCCCCCTAATTCTACGCTTTTCTAGAGTGCAGATTCAGGGCCTCAGCATATCCTCGCAGGAGAGATTTCTGATATATGGGATCAACTTTGTCATCCTCTTTGTACGTTTACCAATGCATTTATATTCACTCTGTAATAGTGACCAGAACTGTGCAGCATAGTCTAAATGAGGCCTAACCAACAATATGTAGAGATGAAGAATGTCCTCAGGACTTCTGTTAGTTATACTTCTTGATATGAAGCCCTGAGGATATCCCTCCAAGAACCCTCAATAATGGGTTCAATTAGATAAGTTTATATTTAGAAAGTATTGGTTTGGAAATATGGTAGTCGATGCTTTATTTTGAACACTTATTCAATATTGTCTTCGTCTTATATTACTACTAACCAGAACTCCTAACTCTTTCTCAAAATCACTGTGATTAAGATCAACGTTATTTAGTTTATAAGTGCCAGAAGAAACTTTGAATTTTTCAGTATTAAACTGCATCTGCAACTTTTCCGACCATTGCATTAATCTATTCAGATCTGTCTATAGCCCTCTAATGTCCTCGTCAGAATTAATTCGACGGCCTATTTTGGTGTCGTCCACAAACTTGCTTATGTAGCTATTTATTCTCAATGTCGTTTCTGTAAATTGTGAACAACAAAGGGCCCAACACTGACCCCTGTGGAACACCACTTGTGACATGTACCCACTTTGGCATTTCCCCATTTCTGAAAACTCACTCTTGTATATCTGTCAGCCACGCATCTATCTAGGAAAAAAAAAATCTCCTGCCTCTACTTTCAAATCAAATCAAATCAAGTGTATTCTCAATAAATATTACAATTTGGGGTTTACATATTATATAAAACTAATTACAGAGAGGGCCACTGTCACACCTAGCATGACTAAGCATGAGGAAATGGTATGGTGATACCGACAAGATGTGGAAAAAGACACTTATGTACAGTTCAGGACATTTATTAAAGGAAACGTTTCGCCACGAGTGGCTTCTTCAGTCCTAATACAGAGAAAACTAAGAAAACACACAAATATATAGTGGTGGGAGTCAGGTGAGGTGAAGCGTGGGTAGAGGTGGTAATAGTAGTAGTAGTAGTAATGGAACTAAGGAGGTGAGGTTAGAGAGGGACCTGCTGGCATCAAGTAACACCAGTTCCCAGGATGGGTAATATCCTCTTGCTTAATAATTTTGAAATACTGTAACTACCGGATTTTTGCTTTATAGTGTTACTGACAGAAATTAGTGCAGCTTCAATGCATTTTCTCCGTCTTAAGTCGTCTTCTTTAATAACTAGTTTAGCTTCATTGAATTTCATGAACACCTCATGAACACCTCATGGACACCTCATGAAATTCAATGAAGCTAAACTAGTTATTAAAGAAGACGACTTAAGACGGAGAAAATGCATTGAAGCTGCACTAATTTCTGTCAGTAACACTATAAAGCAAAAATCCGGTAGTTACAGTATTTCAAAATTATTAAGCAAGAGGATATTACCCATCCTGGGAACTGGTGTTACTTGATGCCAGCAGGTCCCTCTCTAACCTCACCTCCTTAGTTCCATTACTACTACTACTACTATTACCACCTCTACCCACGCTTCACCTCACCTGACTCCCACCACTATATATTTGTGTGTTTTCTTAGTTTTCTCTGTATTAGGACTGAAGAAGCCACTCGTGGCGAAACGTTTCCTTTAATAAATGTCCTGAACTGTACATAAGTGTCTTTTTCCACATGACTAAGCATTTCTGGCAGACTAAGACTAATTCAAAACTCTGTATTGGTACAGATTAAGGAGCATGTTGGTATTAAGGCTAAGTAACTGTATTACGGTTCGTAAATTTAGCAGTGTGAATGGCTTTGTTTTGGTACAATACATAGTTTCTATTGAAGCTCCTGTATTGGAGTATCATAGGCAAACCTATGACTAGTTAAGATTCGCTAGGTAATAGTTGTATTACGTATTTCTATGTTTATAGTCAATTGGGTGAGTGTAGGTGCGAATTGTGAGGAATCACAGATATAGAGGAGAGGTCTAGGTTGTTGTTTGTGTGTGTATGTTACAAGAGAATAGGCAGTTTTCATGTAGTTAGCTGATAGAGGGGTGTGTCAGGGAGAAAAGATGTTTTCTAACGGTAGTTTTGAAGGTAATGAATGTGTCTGCAGTTCTAGAGATTTCAGGTAGGGTCTTCCAGATTTTAGGCCCTTTTATGTGCATTGAATTTTTGTATAGGTTTAGCCGGACACGGGGAATGTCATAGAGATGTTTGTGTCTGGTGTTATGCCTGTGAGTCCTGTCACAACTATCAACAAAATGTTTTAGGTCAGGGTTAATGTTGGAATTTAAGGTTCTGTGAATGTAGGTTGCACAATAGTAAGTGTAGATGTTCTGAACAGTGGGTAAGTTTAGATCTCTGAAGAGTGGGAGCGTGTGTTGCGTGGGATTGGACTGCATGATTATTCTTACTGCGGCTATTTGTTGGGTTATATAATATTGGCTTTAGGTGTGTTGCTGCACTTGATCCCCAAACACACATAGCATAGGTGAGCTATGGATAAATGAGTGAATGGTATAGTGAGAGAAGGGCAGATTGTGGCATGTAATAATGTAACTTGGAGAGGATCCTAACCGTATTGGATACTTTTTTGTTATGTGTTTGATATGGGTGCTGAAATTCAGGTTGCTTTCGAGGTGTAGGCCTAGGAATTTGCCCTCATTATGTTTGGCAAAAAGTGTTGTCGATCTCAATGTTAAGTTGTGCAACACCTGATCTGTTACCAAACATAATAAAGAAGGTTTTGTCAGTGTTAAGTGCAAGTTTATTGGCTGTCATCCAAATAGATATTTTGAGTAGCTCATCGTTAACAATGGTGTTGAGGGTGGCAAGATTTGGGGAGGAGATGACGTAAGTCGTGTCGTCAACAAAGAGAATGGGTTTCAGGTGTTTCGATACTTTGGGAAGTTCATTGATGTATAAGAGGAAGAGCAGAAGGCCAAGGACACTTCCCAGTGGTACTCCAGTATCACGTGGCCATGTTGGTGAGGTTGTGTCTTTAATGGTGACATACTGATACCTATTAGTAAAGTTGGCCTCTTACATCATAATGGTCAAGTTTGTGGAGTAGGATACCATGATCTACTGTGTCAAAAGCTTTTCTTAGGTCAATAAAAAGTCCTAATGGATATTCCTCATTTTCCAATGCTGTGTGAAGCAGGTCTAGCATTTTTACAATTGCATCATAAGTGCTTTTATTTTTTCTGAAGCCAAATTGGCAGGGGTTGAGTATGTTTTGTGCTGTTATAAACGAATAAAATCTCTTGTGCACAAGTTTCTCGAAGATTTTGGATAGCAATGGTAAATTTGATATTGGCCTATAGTTGTTTACATCTGTGGGGTCACCACCTTTATGTATTGGTGTAACTCTTGCTGTCTTGAGTAGTGTCGGGAAAGTGCTAGTTTCTAGTGACTTGTTAAAAAGTAATGAAATAGCATGCGAAAGGACATGGGCTGCTAGCTTGTACAAAAATGGCGGGACATGAGACATATTCCCTGACTTAAGAAATCGTAATGACACGATTGCAAATAAACCATACCCCCGGCCGGGATTGAACCCGCGGTCATAGAGTCTCAAAACTCCAGCCCGTCGCGCTAGCCACTAGACCAGCTAGCCACAATAAGATTCATCCAACTAGGTATATTTCTACACCATAGGAAAGTTAGCACAGGCACCTCTGTGACCACAAATGCAAGTTTTTACAGACGAATCTCCAGCTAGCGTGGCCGTGACGAACTCTAGCTCAAGTCCCTTCACTGCCGTCAACATGACTTAAGAAATCGTAATGACACGATTGCAAATAAACCATATGGTATGGTTTATTTGCAATCGTGTCATTACGATTTCTTAAGTCATGTTGACGGCAGTGAAGGGACTTGAGCTAGAGTTCGTCACGGCCACGCTAGCTGGAGATTCGTCTGTAAAAACTTGCATTTGTGGTCACAGAGGTGCCTGTGCTAACTTTCCTATGGTGTAGAAATATACCTAGTTGGATGAATCTTATTGTGGCTAGCTGGTCTAGTGGCTAGCGCGACGGGCTGGAGTTTTGAGACTCTATGACCGCGGGTTCAATCCCGGCCGGGGGTATGGTTTATATTCCCTGATGTGGAATGCTATCAAAAGCCTTACTGAAGTCCATGTAAGCAATACCATATTCATTACCGTGATCTACCTCCTCAAATGATTAGTGAAAAAAAAAGTAAATAAATTCGTAAAGTAGGAACACCCCTTTGTAAAACTGTGCTGAGATTCCTTAATCAATTTATTTTTCAAGGTGGCCTCGAATAGCATCGGTAAACACTGATTCCATCAATTTTCCCACAATGGAGGTTAGGCTTATTGATCTACAATTCAAAGCTAAGTACTGCACCATCCCCCCAATGAAAAGCAGGGGTGTCACTAGCACGTTAAGAGACCATACAATAAGTGTCAGGGGCCCGAGACTGTTCAACTGCCTCCCAGCAAACATAAGGGGGATTACCAACATACCCCTGGCAGTCTTCAAGCTGGCACTGGACAAGCACCTAAAGTCGGTTCCTGACCAGCCGGGCTGTGGCTCGTACGTTGGTTTGCGTGCAGCCAGCAGCAACAGCCTGGTTGATCAGGCTCTGATCCACCAGGAGGCCTGGTCACAGACCGGGCCGCGGGGGCGTTGACCCCCGGAACTCTCTCCAGGTAAACTCCAGGTAAACTAAACTTCGTACGTCAGTATGCGTGTGCCAGCAGTAACAGCCTGTTTGATCAGACCACCACGAGGCCTGGTCTCAGACCGGTCCGTGGGGATGTTGACCCCCATGTAAAGAGGAAAATTGAATACAGGAAGGTTCAGTTTGACAATGTGTGTCATAATGAGCAAAATTTTGCTTCCCATTTAATGATCAAAATATATGTGTTGACCTAATCTAAATGTTTTCAGTATTTAATGACTTATGTATCTTACTGCCGGGATAGTAACCATTCACTTTAGTATGTACTCAAATTGGTCAACGCAAGAAATATATTTTAAAATTTCTAATTATTGGAATTTTTATCAAATTGAACTATTTTTCTTAGTCTTCCAAAGAATTCTAAAACTAATACAACTGAAAAATAAATCAGTATTTAACACTCGTATCTTTATAGTGTTTTTAAATTGCCTGTGTTGAATGAACCTTTAAAAACTATACAGCATGATAGCACAGCCATCCGTCTGTTAGCTGCAGTTTCCTCATATCAATATCAATATCAATATCCACTTGTTACTAGTTTCAATCCCTGGTCATCAATTACCAGGTGAAGGTTCTGAGAACAGTTGATATATGCAGGTGATCTCTGCTCAGTTTCGTATAGCCAATTTTCAAAACTGATTTCCATGCGAGAGCTTTAAAGATCCTTATTTATTCGGCATCGCAGTTCCAGTTATTACCTAGAGTTTTTAGATTCACTTATTACACTTATAATGTCCTATTAAATACCTTCCCAAATTTGTTTATCAATCCTCGCAACTTCTCTACAAAAAGCACTTTTGACAACTCTCTCTTTGTATTTCATTCTGTATATGTTAATCATTGATTTTTTCCCCAACACCATAGCATTCACTACTATTACATCTACAGATACATTAAATAACCATGATGACATATCATAACTCTGTTAGAGGCTTTCTTTTAATAGAAAATAATCTATACCTCTTTCCTGCATTCCCTAACCATTCATTTAGGATCGCCGGTACTTTCCGCCCGGAACTGTGCCTTAATATGTACCTCTGTAATCTTTTGACTACTTCCCACAGGATGGGTATGGGGCACATAATAAAAATATTAAACTAACTCACTATCCTTAACAAAACTCTTAACAGCTCTAAGTAATCTACCAGTTATTCCATATACTAGCGACATTTCCTGCATCGATACCTTATCCATGCAATCGTATGTGATCATTATTTCTGTACCATTGTTCCACAGCTCACAACAACATGAAGGTGGTGATCATTATTTCTGTACCATTGTTCCACAGCTCACAACAACATGAAGGTGGTGATCATTATTTCTGTACCATTGTTCCACAGCTCACAACAACGTGAAGGTGTTCATTACACACTGTGGTCTCCTCGGCACGCAGGAATCTATATACCATGCCACGCCACTCCTCGGTTTGCCGATATTTGCTGACCAAAACAGAAACAGCATGTTTATTAGGAACTCTGGAGTGGGAGACTTTCTGCTGTGGGAGGAACTCACAGAGGACGTGATGGTCAACGCTATTAATGACATTATTAACAACCCAAAGTTAGTTATTGATTGATCGTTTATGCTGAAAATACCAGACTTAATTAGAAGCATTTTACTACTATAAAAATATTCATAATGATATTTATTCACGCCTCGTTAGGTTCTGCATGTATGAATAAGAAATTCTAGAAATTAATTTAATTTATCTGTTTATCAGGTATAAAGGAAACATTTTGAGAATGTCAAAGTTGATGCGGGATCAACCTGTACCACCCACGGAACTGGCAGTGTTCTGGACGGAGTACGTCATCCGTCACAAAGGTGCGCCTCAGCTGAGGTCACCAGCGGCACAGCTCTCCTGGGTGGAGTTCCTCATGCTGGACGTGATCTTCCTCCTTCACCTGACTATGTTCTTCCTCTACTTCATAACACGTCGCATCCTCAGAGTTATCTCTGCTAAAATATTCAGCAGTGATATCAAGATGAAGAAAAAAAACGATTAATAATTTATTCCTCGTATTACATGGATTAGAAATATCTTCTAGCTGCTAGATGGTTCAGAAATTCCTAATTATTATCTATCTGATTCAGTGTTTGAAAATAGGACTTACACTGGAATCATTAAAATTTGATATAATCCCTAGCATCCCCCTGAGAACAGCTAAAAAAAAAAAATTCTGTATAACAATATGACATTGGAATTCAGAAAACCTAAAAAAAAAAGATGTCTTTAATAAGGTAAACAAAAGCCGATGCTGTGTCTGAATTATAGTTTTAACATTTTTTGAGGAAAGGATAGTCTTTTTTTTTTTTTTGCACACCGGCTGTCTCCCACCGAGGTAAGATGACCCGAGAAAGTCCACTTTTACCATCACACACTCCATCAGTGTTTTACCCGAGGTGCGCTGATATTACAGCTTCAGAGCACAGACACTGTATTTCCCACCTACAAGACTCAAGTCCGGCTAACTGGTTTTCCTGAATCCCTTCATAAATGTTACCTTGTTTACACTCCAACAGCACATCAAGTCATAAAAAAGCATTTGTCTCCAATCACACCTAACACACACACACACACACACACACACACACACACACACACACACAGAAGAGCTCACTCGAGCAGAGCAAAGTTACTGGTAATGGGCGATTTCAACCACAGGGAGATCGACTGGGAAAACCTGGAGCCACATGGGGGTCCCGAAACATGGAGAGCCAAGATGATGGATGTGGTACTTGAAAACCTCATGCATCAACATGTCAGGGACACAACCAGAGAGAGAGGGGAGGATGAGCCAGCAAGACTGGATCTTGTGTTCACCCTGAGCAGTTCAGACATTGAGGACATCACTTGCGAGAGGCCCCTTGGAGCTAGCGATCATGTGGTTCTGAGTTTGACTATATGTAGAGTTACAAGTGGAGAAGGTAACAGGAACTGAAGGGGACAGGCCAAACTATAAAAGGGGGTACTACACAGGTATGAGAAACTTCCTGCAGGAGGTTCAGTGGGACAGAGAAATGGTAGGAAAATCAGTAAACGAGATGATGGAATATGTGGCAACAAAGTGCAAGGAGGCAGAGGAAAGTTTTGTTCCCAGGGAAACAGAAATAATAGGAAGACCAAAACGAGTCCTTGGTTTACCCGAAGGTGTAGGGAGGCAAAAAACTAAGTGCAACAGAGAATGGAAAAGGTACAGGGAGGCATAGGACCCGGAAAACAAGGAGATTAGTAGAAGAGCCAGAAACGAGTAATGCACAGATAAGGAGGGAGGCCCCGCGACAGTATGAAAACGACATGCATCGAAAATCAAATCTGACCCGAAACTGCTGTATAGCCACATTAGGAGGAGACAACAGTCAAAGGGCCAGGTGATAAGGCTGAGGAAAGAAGGTGGAGAACTCACAAGAAACGATCAAGAGGTATGTGAAGGAGCTCAAAACGAGATTTAAGGAAAATATTTACAGTAGAGACAGGAAGGACTCTGGGGGGGCAGACCAGATGGGACACCAGCAAGGAATCACCAAAAGTGTTGGACGACATACATTACAGATGAGGAGGAGGTGAAGAAACTGCAAGGGACATCGATACCTCAAAGGCAATGGGAAACCCGGGCAACATCTCCCCGTGGGTCCTTAGAGAGGGAGCAGAAATGTTGTGCGTGCCACTTACACAATCTTCAACACATCCCTGGAAATGGGCAACTACCTGAGGTATGGAAGACGGCAAATGTAGTTTCCCCTTTTTAAAAAGGAGACAGAAAGAGGCACTAAACTATAGACCTGTGTCATTGACGTGGGATAGTATGCAAATTATGGAGAAGATTATCAGGAGGGGAGTGGTGGAGCACCTGGAACGGAACAGGAGTATAAATGCCAACCAGCACGGATTCACGGAAGGCAAATCCTGTGTCACAACCTTCTGGAGTTTTATGATAAAATAACAGAAGTAAGACAAAAGAGAGAGGGGTGGATTGATTGCATCTTCTTGGACTGCAAGAAGGCCTTTGACACAGTTCCTCACAAGAGATTAGTGCAGAAGCTAGAGCATCAGGCGCATATAACAGGAAGGGCACTGCAATGGATCAGAGAAACCTGACAGGGAGGCAACAACGAGTCATGGTACGTAATGATGTATCACAGTGGGCACCTGTGACGAGGGGGTCCCACAGGGGTCGGTCCTAGGACCAGTGCTATTTTTGGTATATGTGAAAGACATGACGGAAGGGTTAGATCAGAAGTGTCCCTGTTTGCAGATGTGTGAAGTTAATGAGGAGAATTAAATCTGATGAGGACCAGGCAGAACTTTAAAGAGACCTGGACAGACTGGACACCTGGTCCAGCAAATGGCTTCTCGAATTTAAACCTGCCAAATGCAAAATCATGAGATACGGGAGGGCACAGAAGCCCAAGACAGAGTTTTAGGCTAGGTGGCCAAAGACTGCAAACCTCATCAAGGAGAAAAAATCTTGGGGTGAGTATAACACCGAGCATGTCTCCGGAAGCACACATCAATCAGATAAATGCTGCAGCATATGGGCGCCTGGCAAACCTGAGAACAGCATTCCGATACCTTAGTAAGGAATCATTCAAGACACTGTAAAACCGTGTATGTCAGGCCCTACTGGAGTATGCAGCACCTGTTTGGAACCCCCATTGATAAAGCACGTCAAGAAACTAGAGAAAGTACAAAGGTTTGCGACAAGGTTAGTTCCAGAGCTAAGGGGAATGTCCTATGAAGAAAGATTAAGGGGAAAATCGGCCTGCGACACTGGAGGACAGGAGGGTCAGGGGAGGGCATGATAACGACATATAAAATACTGCGTGGAATAGCAAGGTGGACAAAGACAGGATGTTCCCAAAGAGGGGAAAACAGAAACAAGAGGCCCCAATTGGAAGTTGAAGACACAAATGAGTCCCGAGAGATAGTAGGAAGTATTTCTTTAGTCATGGAGTTGTAAGGCAGTGGAATAGCCTAGAAATGACGTAGTGGAGGCAGGAACCCTACACAGTTTTAAGACGAGGTTTGATAAAGCTCATGGGGTGGGGGAGAGAGAGGGCCTAGTAGCAAACCCGGTGAAGAGGCGGGGGGCCCGGAGCTAGGACTCGGGCCCCTGCAAAACCCCAAATAGGTGAGTACAAATAGGTGAGTACACAAAACACACACACACACACAACACACCAAAACACACACACACACACACACACACCACACACACACACCCCACATACACACAAACACACATCAACAGGTCAGGGACACAACCAGAGAGAGAGGGGAGGATGAGCCAGCAAGAAATGGATCTTGTGTTCACCCTGAGCAGTTCAGACATCGAGGACATCACTTACGAGAGGCCCCTTGGAGCTAGCGATCATGTGGTTCTGAGTTTTGACTTATAGTAGAGTTACAAGTGGAGAAGGTAACAGGAACTGAAGGGGAAAAGGCCAAACTATAAAAGGGGGGAACTACACAGGTATGGAAACTTCCTGCAGGAGGTTCAGTGGGACAAGAAATGGTAGGAAAATCAGTAACGAGATGATGGAATATGTGGGCAACAAAGTGCAAGGAGGCAGAGGAAAGTTTGTTCCCAAGGGAAACAGAAATAATAGGAAGACCAAAAAGAGGTCCTTGGTTTACCCGAAGGTGTAGGGAGGCAAAAACTAAGTGCAACGAGAAAGGAAAAGGTACAGGAGGCATAGGACCCAGGAAAACAAGGAGATTAGTAGAAGAGCCAGAAACGAGTATGCGCGATAAGGAGGGAGGCCCAGCGACAGTATGAAAAACGACATAGCATCGAAAGTCAAATCTGACCCGAAACTGTTTGTATACCCACATTGGAGGAAGGACAACAGTCAAGGCCCCAGGTGATAAGGCTGAGGAAAGAAGGTGGAGAACTCACAAAACGACCAAGAGGTATGTGAGGAGCTCAACACGAGATTTAAGGAAGTTTTTTACAGTAGAGCGGGAAGGACTTGGGGGGACAGACCAGATGGGGACACCAACAAGGAATACACCAACAAGTGTTGGACGACATACATACAGAGGAGGAGGAGGTGAAAAACTGCTAAGGGACATCGATACCTCAAAGGCAATGGGCCCGGACAACATCTCTCCATGGGTCCTTAGAGAGGGAGCAGATATTTTTGTGCGTACCACTTACCACATCTTCAACACATCCCTGGAAACTGGGCAACTACCTGAGGTAGGAAGACGGCAAATGTAGTTCCCATTTTCAAAAAAGGAGACAGAAAAGAGGCGCTAAACTATAGACCTGTGTCATTGCTGTATAGTATGCAAATTATGGAGAAGATTATCAGGAGGAGAGTGGTGGAGCACCTGGAACGGAACAGGAGTATAAATGCCAACCAGCACGGATTCACGGAAAGGGAAATCCTGTGTCACAAACCTTCTGGAGTTTTATGATAAAATAACAGAAGTAAGACAAGAGAGAGAGGGGTGGGTTGATTGCATCTTCTTGGACTGCAAGAAAGCCTTTGAAAACAGTTCCTCACAAGAGATTAGTGCAGAGCTAGAGCATCAGGCGCATAAACAGGAAGGGCACTGCAATGGATCAGAGAATACCTGACAGGGAGGCAACAACGAGTCATGGTACGTAATGATGTATCACAGTGGGCACCTGTGACGAGCGGGGTCCCCCAGGGGGCGGTCCTAGGACCCGTGCTATTTTGGTATATGTGAACGACATGATGGAAGGGTTAGACTCAGAAGTGTCCCTGTTGCAGATGATGTGAAGTTAATGAGGAGAATTAAATCTGATGAGGACCAGGCAGGACTTCAAAGAGACCTGGACAGACTGGACACCTGGTCCAGCAAATGGCTTCTCGAATTTAATCCTGCCAAATGCAAAGTCATTTAAGATAGGGGAAGGGCACAGAAGACCACAGACAGAGTATAGGCTAGGTGGCCAAAGACTGCAAACCTCATCAAAAGGAGAAAAATTTGGGGGGAGTATAAAACCCAGCATGTCTCCGGAA